ATGAGCTAGGAACTGCAAATCGCCTCCTGTTCTGTTCCTGAGATTTCGATATAAACAAGCTGTATTAACTTGAATGTGTCTTTTATGCTGCCTCCTTCCTTGGGCCTCCCATTCTGCACTCAAAATTTAGCAAGCTCCTTTTGATAAATTGCTCAAAGTGATCCCTGAAAGAGCTAAACTGCCTGGGTAATGTGTCAGAGGCCTTAAAGTTACACCTGTCTATAAGATATTCACTTTTGGACTACAAAGATCAAATCATTTTTAATGATGAGATCCATAGCTGGAAGAAAAGAGGGAGCAAGATTAATACCCATGAATCCAAATAATTTCATTTGAAGCACTATTGGATTTAGAACACTGCATTTCACTGGTTTATAGAGTAGTGAAGATAAAATAGTTATCTGGGCCTGAAGCACAGACAAGGAAGTCCCAATGATATACATGAAGTAAGGAATTTCAACTTTCAGAAAACTTGTTCATTTAAAATATTTTGTGGTATAGGGCCATAATATGCTTGCAAAATGCAGGTACAGATAGCAATATATAAATCTAAATGACAGCATTATTTTATTCAGAAGACAATGCATTGCTTCACAATTAAAGATTAATTTCTGCCTTTTACATTTTAAGTAAATGTTTCTTGTGTCTTTCCTAAGAACTGGCAACTTAGAAATGTATTTTCTCTCCTTCTTATAAATTCGCTCCCCAGGGCTGCAGTTCTTCTAGCTTTAAGGCAATTTTCATTAAAGCAGCCAGCTGCCTCTTTGTGTGGATTGGCTGTTTAAAGCAGTTGCTGTGAAGTCGGAGCCTCAGTTTTGACATTCTGTAGACCCTTAGCAAAGACGTTCCATTCAGATGAGAGTGGGTCTCCACCAAAGCTAACAGCTGCTGGGGCTAGTAAGGGAACAGAAAGCATAATAAGAATGCCTGGCTGGAAGAAGGCTGAAAGAAGGTGTAAGGAAAAAGAGGAGGAGGAGGAAGAGGAGGAAGAGACTCTGGAAATTCTTTCTCATAATGGATACATTTCAACAAGTCAATAGGCAATTTTCCTTAAATTTAAACAAGTTGTTATTTGCATTATTCCCATGACCCATTCCTAAGAAAATTCTTTGTTTTCTGCCATTCCATTATTTCTATTATTCTGAGACTGCATAAATAAAAAGTGAAGATCTATCAAACAAATGCCATCTCATTTCTTCTTTAATACTTTGATGTTTCCAGCTTAAGGTGAGGTGATTTTTTTTCTGTCAATTTCAGTTATATAAAAATACAAACACTGTACGTTACATGTGATGCCAGTTTGTTTACTAGATGAAGGAGTTAACAAATTAGAGTTCAAGTTACAGTGGGTGACTTGATCCCGTAATTGTTATTCAGGTGATCTGAGGCCACTTGGGTCCAAAGACTGGTTGCTACTGAGAACCGGGCGGCTCTGTATCTCGAGGAGCAGAAGTGTGAGGGGGGTGAGTAGGGTGTCTTTTCCGTGTTGTTGATTCCGCGAGGTTGTCTTTCCGAGCTTTGAATCCGGCCAGGAGGAACTAACACCTCTTCCCCCTATCAATCCTGAACAGGATAGTAATGAGTAGACCCCTTCCTTCAATTAAAGAAGAACCTGGGTTAGCGTCAATACCAGGATTTCTTCATAAGGGTACCTACAGCGTCCTGGAGGAAGGGGCCCGGGGGACTTGGAAGTACGCATCCAAGGCCTCCGGAGAGGCCCGCAAGAACTGCGGGTTCAGCCATTGTCCTATCTTGTGATCTCCCGGAGCTGTGCTGGAGCGAGGGAGATACCAAGACACCTTGTCAGTTCAAAGCGTTTTAGGGTTGTTTGAAATCCTCTCCACGTCAGCGTTAGCAGACGCTGTATTTGAACAGCTGCTTTGAACAGCGAAAGGAACGAGCTAAATCAAAACCTGGAGGAATCTACCCGAGACACCTTCAACGTGCTTTTCTGAGGGCAGAGAAAAAGGCAGAGTTACAGGCGGACTCTGCCCTCGCAGGGCCGGCCGATGAATGGCGCCGGTGACTATAGGCAACGGGGTGGCGGTGGTGCCGAGGCCCCCATCTGCTGCTAAAAGCCTTCAAGAGCCCACGTTCCCGGAGCCCTAGTGAGAATTTCAAAGAGAGAAGCAGACCGGGAAGCCTAAGCAGCTCAGGACCTGGAGTTCGCGCCAACCGGGCCCCCACTGACCCGCGCAGACGCTGAGGTGGCGGCGGGCGGGCTGGGAGGCGGTACTCCAAGTTTCGGTGATCTCTCAACCCTGCCCGCCCAGAGATTGGTCCGGCCTCGGGGGTGGGCTGGGGGTGTGCTGTGAAGCCCAGGGTAGGGCATTGCTCTGTATGCTGCCGGGCATTTATTGGGCATAGTCAGGCTTATCCGGTTGGGAAGGGCAGGAGCTTTTCGCCCGCCAGCGAAATGAGGCGGGGCTGAGGGGTGGAGTGGAGACCTGGGACGTCAAAGTGGGAAGGATCTCCGAGTTTCAATAGCCAGTGCAGTCCCACCGCACACAGGAAGTTTGGGTGTATTCGCTGTATTCCTGCCTCCTCCTCCTCACTACCACCACCACCCACACTAGCGCCCTTTCCCCGGAGGAGACGTTGGGGGAGGGGTGCGAAGACAGAAGGAGACAGGGAGGAGGGACTTTCAAAATGACTCAAAGCCTGGCTTCCAGAGTTCCTTTGGAAATGAGTCTCAAAACTTCACTCTGGCTCAGGTGTATCAGCATAAGGGCTGAAGGAGTCTTCTCAACATCTAAAGGAAATCAGACACCAGCCCAGAAAGCCTCGCAGAACTGGGGAGAGTTGCTTATTGCCCCGGGGGCAGCCCTTTTCCGCAGCTGGATTCTTCTTCCCTCTCTAGGAGCTCTGAGCTCCCAAGAGGAGGGGAAAAGAAAAGCACCGCAGGGCTGGAGGGACGCAGCTGGCGAGCGGCCTAAGCCCTCCACAAGACCACGGTACGCGGGGCGAAGCTTGGAGGACGTCGCCTCGCCCGCTTCTCATCCTCTTCTCTGGAGATCCAGCGGGCGCGGACACCAGCCGCTGCGTCTGCGCGCTGGAGGCTCGGACTTTTTAATTTTTTATTTTTTTATTTTTTATTTTCCTAGCCAAGCAAAGTTAACTGAATTTGCAGCAGCTCTCAGGCGCTCGGAAGGAGTGGCCGGGAGCTCGCAGTGGGTGTAGCACCTCGAGAAGTGTGTCCTAACCTTGCTGCGGGTGCGCGCGCGTGAGGGGGTGCAGGTTCGTCCGCTCGGCTGCCTGCAGCCTCGCCCCTCCCCTAACGGTTTCTCTCCCTCCCACACACACGCTCATAAACACAAGACACGTGGAAATTCTCAGCCAAAGCGCCTTGCCCCGGCGGGTGCTCAGCGTGGTGATTTATAAACAGCTCAGCCACTCCCCAAAGAGCAGGGTTCCTCGTTAGTCATGATGAATTTTCTGGCCCGATCCATTCTGCTGCCTAGATTAAGATGCTTGGAGGCCCCAAAATGCTCCCTCTGAGCGTTGATTTGGCTGCTACCGCAAGCCTGCGGCCGCCGACAAAAAACGTAGCACCACCAAGCTGGAGCCAAGGGTAAGAGACGGGGGAGTGATTCACGCCTCCAAGATCTTCCTTTCCCTTCGCAGCTCCAACTTCAGATTCGCTTTAAGTAATCCCTGCCTCAGTGGCGACCCTGCCCCGAGGTCCCACGACTACAGCCCGAGTCCGTGCCTGGCGCCCCGCTGCCCGGCTCGTATGCTCCAAGCGCAGCAGCAGCCACCTGCTCCGGGCTGCAGAGGCCGGCGCGACGCATTGGCGCTCGGGACCGTAGGGAAAGCGGAGCCTCGTTGCACCGTCCCGCGCGCGCTCAGAGCGGAAAGCTAGGAGGCCCAGCCTGCGCCCAGGAACTTCTTGAGACCAACACCACCCGGTGGCGCCTGCAAAAGTAACTGATGAGGACTGTCTCTAAGCATCCTTGTTTTGCTTTGCACACACTTCATGACTTGGCGAGCGGAGAACAGAAAAGTTGAACAGGACAGCGCCGGGCACGGGGGAAGTGCACGCAGCCCCACCCGCGCGGCTCCTGAGGGGCGTCCCTCTGTCTCTGTCCCGCCGCTACCCTGCCAGTTCTCCGGCAGTTCAAGCGGGGGGGACGTTCAGCTGGTGCAAGCTCCCACTTTTCTAAACCCAATCCTCCGAGCGCGCCCGAGTGTGCTGCTGACAGACTTTTAGAGTTTTGTTTTCAGTTCGGAGCGCAGCTTTGTGCGAGCAGGCAACTCAGAACCTTGACAAGAGTGGCACAGGATCCTCAGCCTCAGACCCAGGTTTTTCGGTCAGGGGCCGCGAAGCAGTTGGGACTGTGGTCGAAAAGCCAGGGCCTGTGCTGGGGAGAGGGGGGGTGTGGTGGGGAAGGAAAAAGTGACAGGCACCTGTGCCCCTAAATGTTCGCCTCCAAAGGGAGACTTCAACCGAGGGAGAGGAAGCCTGGCTCCTTGCTCGAGGACTAAGCGACCCTGTTGTGTGTGTATCCCCAGGAGAATGACAATCTCACTGGCTCTTGCGACCCAGTCTTTCTCTTCTTCCATCCCTTCCCCGCCCCTTGAAGCCCTATTGGGAAGAGAAACTGGACCCCCTTCAACATGCGCGCGCGCGCACACACACACACACACACACACAGGAGCGCGCGCGCACACACACACACACACACACACACACCCCAAGTCTTCCAAGTGGTGACGGTCGATAAGAGCTCCTGGACCGCCCCCCCCCCCGCCCGGCTGCTCCGCCTGGGAGACAGATGGGGGGCGGGGCCCCCAAGGGAGCGGGAGGAGGCGGCCAGGGTGGTGACGAAGAGGGGGGTGAGAACTGAGAGAATGTGAATCGCGACTCCAGGGGGGACCAGGAGGAGGGCTGCAAGGACTCCGCGCCCCGGGGAGGAGGTGGGGGCAGCTCTGCGCCAATCAGGGGCTCCGGCCTGGGAGGTTGCTAGCGGTATCCACGTAAATCAAAGGGCGCGGAGCCAATGGGAGGGGGCGGAGGGGGCGGGGCCCAGGCGCGTGCCGCCGCGAGCCGCCGCTGCCAAGAGAGCGGGAGAGAGCTGGTGAGAGCAGGAGCGGGGGGAGCAGCGAGCAAGCGAGTCGGAGAGTGAGCGCCGGCGAGAGGAGGGAGAGGAGGAGAAAGAGCGAGGGCGGGCGGGAGGCGGCGGCGGCAGCGGCAGTAATAGCAGGAGCAGCCACAGAAGGCGTCGGAGCGGGCGTCGGAGCTGCCCGCTAGGGGGGAGACAGAGAAAGAGAGAGAGGAGCGAGCGAGAGAGAGAGAGAGAGAGAGAGAGAGAGAGAGAGAGAGAGAGAGAGAGGAGAGGGAGCCCGAGGCGGAAAAGTAACTGTCAAATGCGCGGCTCCTTTAACCGGAGCGCTCAGTCCGGCTCGGAGAGTCATGGCGACCGCA